CACACACACACACACACACACATATATATATATATATATATATATATATATATAGTATGATGTTGGGAAACTACCAGCTGAATTATTGTTCGCTGTGTCCGTTCAGAAAGGTGTATTCATTATTTTCAATAGAAGCACACCTATGATTACGAGGTGCAAAGGAAAGTTGTAAACATAATTTTACACGAAAATAAGAAAAAGGAAAAAAAAACCCAGTAAAGACATAGATTGGCGGGTAAGTGTCACTTTGAAGCGAGCATCAACGCGAATTCTCATAAGCTCTACACAATACGACAACTTTGAACCTTTCCATTCAATACATATTTTAGCCTCAGTTTTGGCAGCTCGGTTTGTTTTACGGCATATCAACCTCAATGGGTTATTTAATGCCGACAACATTTTTAGAATATATTCGTATGAATAGAATATGTATTCTTGGTTTAGATTGGTTTGGTTTATTTTGTTTTTTCGGCATATCAACCTCAATGGGTTATTTAATGCCGACAACATTTTTAGGATATATTCGTATGAATAGAATATGTATTCTTTGGTTTAGATTGGTTTGGTTTATTTTGTTTTTTCGGCATATCAACCTCAATGGGTAATTTTTTGCCGACAACATTTTTATGAGAGATTCGTATGAATAGAATATGTATTCTTTGGATTAGATTGGTTTGGTTTATTTTGTTTTACGGCATATCAACCTCAATGAGGTGCCACCACACCGAGTCAGAGAGGACCTAGGATCACCAGCAATTAAGAGGTGGTTCCACGCTCCTCAAAACCTCCTGATCAGAGGCCTTGCAGTTGGACGTAGTTTATCGTATTACCCAGGATGGGTTTTAACCTCGTATGTTTAACGTTCATTAGGAACCAATAAATAGCCATTTACGTAGGAATTCCCTAAATTCAATGCGTCAAGGTATCTCACTATCTGTACTCGTTAATCTATTTGTCTAGTAGAATCATTTGAACGTATCGGTTTGAGATAATTTGCTACCACCGATTATTATCATTGATTAAGTGTCAAAGTCGGCTTCCTGTTCGTAAGCAGTGGTGTAGTCAGTTCAATTCCCACTGAACGTTATATAGGAAGATCAGTATTATACTAAGTAAGCTTTGGAAATAGGTGTAAATTACATATGTATATTATGCAGTGTTACGTTAGAATATGTATATACCCACTACAAAACGGTGCATCTTGTTTCAACGTTAAATTTTTTTTTTTAACGTTTCATCAGGTGGGAAATTACGATGTTACTAAAACATTTTATACCGAAATGCAGTTAACGATGCACATCTTCCACTACCGTCATTGGAAAGTTTCCCATAATAGATTAACTTTTTTATGGTTTGATTTTTAATAAGATTTCTTGAATATTCAGGACGGTAGATAAAATAAATAAATAAATAAAAAGAATATATAGTTTAATAAACAAAAACAGACCTACTCAAATATGTGTATCAACAAAAAATAATGTTTAAGCAATATAATAACACACACACACACACACACACACACACACACACACACACACACACACACGCATATATATATATATATATATATATATATATATATATATATATAAGTGCGTAGGTATGCAGAAAATAGAAAAGAACACGTTGGGTGCATAATCCGGAGTTCCTTAGTATTTTTGTTTTTATTCTTAAGAAGACAGTGCTCCATACAGAAATTGAGGTTTATTATAATAATATTTTTTTGTTTAAAAATATGATTCCTTCGCTACATAAGTGTTCTCATGTTTCAAAAACAAGAGCCGAAACCATCCAAATAATTATTAAAATTAAGTTGAATTGAGGTGTTTCCTGAGTGTTGATTCCTAAAATTTCGCTTGAAGATGAAACGGGACTAAACACCTCAATTCAACTTAATTTTAATAATTATTTGGATGGTTTCGGCTCTCGTTTTTGATACATGAGAACTCTTATGTAGCGAAGAAATCATATTTTTAAACAAAAAAGATTATTATATATATATATATATATATATATATATATATATATATATATAACTTCAACATCATCACTTGAAAAGACACCAAAAGTGTTCAAACAAAATTTCAACTTTTGTAGTGCTCTTATAGCATGCATATGTTATAAATTTGAATAAATACCACAGACACACACACATACATACATACATATATATATATATATATATATATATATATATATATATATATATATATATATATATATATATGTGTGTGTGTGTGTATTTATTACTTATAGCATGCATATGTTATAAATTTGAATAAATACCACACACATACACACACACACATACACATATATGTGTGTGTGTGTGTGTGTGTGTGGTATTTATTCAAATTTATAACATATGCAATGCTATAAGATCACTACCACATCAAGTCAAGTTGGACCTAGACACAACAGCAATTAAGAAGTGGTACCAGGCTCCTCAAAACCTCCAATCTCCCGATCAGATGCCTTACTGCCGGATGAAGTTTATCGTCACACCCAGGACTTAATAACGTTCAAACTAATTCACACACACACACACACACACACACACACATGCATACACACACACACACACACACACACACACACATACATACATACATACATATATATATATATATATATATATATATATATATATATATATATATTAAGAAATGGACAAAGTCCGACAATTTATTTTGACTTGATGTGGTAGCACTTGTTAGGGACCCAGTCATGAGCAAATAGTGAGAGCCCCAGCCCACCAAAAACCTCTATGAAAGCATATTAAGGTATTTTAAATAGTAAATGAATATAGAACTGATACTTCTATGTGCCACATCCCATCAGAACGTGATTGAACATGTCTCTCCACAGCTTCCTATTCCTTATAGCTCTTAGTAATGTTTGTCTTTTTGCCATCCATCCCATCCGCCACTCCGCCTCACCTAGGCATTTTGCCTTCGATATGTCCTGTGAGTGACAAATTCTCCAGGTCCTCTTTCC